CATTTTTCATCATTTCAGTTACGAGGTCCATATAAGCGTAGAGTGTACCGTCGGCAAATGTGAAAATTTCATGTCACTATTAATCGCTCCAATATATGCGGCTACTTGTAAAGGGTCGTTGTACATTTTTGCCAACTCCATCTCCACCATCGTATCCTTTGATGAACCGGAACTTGCTGTTTTCCAGTCGATCACCAGCAGTGCATCCCTTAAAGTAATTCCTCCAGCTGACTACCATTCAAACTGTCCAAACACAATGAATACCACATTTCAAGTCTCCCAAAAAATATTTGTTGAAAATCGAGTGCATTTGCATCGAAGTGTTCGTGAAGATAATTCGAAATGCTCAAAATGCAGATGCTGCTCTAACTGTGTAAATGACTAGTGTAAAAATGACCATATATGAAAGAGAGCGATATGACACGAATGCAATAACGGATTGATTTATTGATGAACCTGTAGGAGACGATAGCATCAAATCGTCCCAGATAGCAAAGTAAATGATGATGTGCGTATTGTTCAAGTTGCGTGAACTCAGAATGTTGCAACGATCGCAATACTGGCAAAACACTGCGCATGTATCCCAAGACTGCATCTGGTATCTGAATTCCCAAAATTTCTTCAACAATCGCTTGCTTACATGAACCGAAGATTCCATTCAGAACGGTACTTTGTCAAAATATGCCACTCAGTATTGGGCAGTAATATGGTGCATCTTTTTGAGAATTTAAGTTGCAGCTTAGAGGGAAATGGAAAGTTTTCCTCGAAACACAACAACATTATTGTCAACGTAGAAGATACGAAATTTTCATCGATTTGCCCTACCCCTTCTAAGAGCTCATCATCGCATAGTGTTATCGATTTATGTTCAGATAACTTCAGGAGTATATCTCTGACCCGACTGTGATACGCAATTCCGCACTGAATTCTTTCTGAAATACTCAATAATTTAACATTCACTTGTGAAGGGAAATTTCTAGCGAAACGATTTCAACAATAAGCTGTTGTTCGGATGCAGTTTGTTTGTGAAAGTCGAGATGTTCGTTTCAAAAAAAAAATTCACTTTTCAGCGAATCAAACCCAGCGCTCTGATGAATTTGAGTTGCGACTGGCGATCAGTCGATGGTGAGATTCAGCTACAAAAATTGATCATGTTTACTGATTCGGCATTAACCTCTCATATATCGTCGAAATGAACCTTCGCCACCTAGTTGTTTGATCATTTTCAATTGCCACCAGTATAGATTTCGCTGCGACTGCGTACATCCGAGAATAGTCGATATTGATGGATAACGACCTGAGAGCTGAGTAGTGGTGGCACTATTCGACAACCGTTCCACATCCTTCAGTAATTGTTTTTGATCGACTGGTATGTAATTAATAATGTGTGTGTATGTGACTGCTGAAGGCACACACGGACAGAGATGTAAAAGTATTCGTAAATTCACAATGGTAATTTTCTGATAGAATTAACTGTTTAAGATCAGGGAGCATCACACCGTGAGAACAACTCACATCAAATGAAACTTGTGGTACTTGCGCATGTGTGCACTCAACGGCAGTGCGTTGAGAAGCCGACTGAGATCTGCAACCCGGAAAGCTGCCGACAACACCCTTCGCAATAGACGGCGTTATTACGGTACCATATCGAATCGTCTTCATTGCTTCTTTTATGCTAGAAATGCCCATTGTCAATTAAGAAATAAACTGTGCATATGAATTTGGGCGAAAAATTAGAGATGGAACCGGAAATATGCGAACATTTGGGAAAAAACACTAGAAATGGTGCAGTCGACTTCTTCAACTTAAAGGTTTCCCATATATGTCGTTTAAAAACATGCAAGAATGCTCGAACCCAACTTTTTCGAGAAGTTCAACATCAATTCGTGACATGAATCAAGTTGTACAATTCTGCAAAATCAAATCAATGATTCTGCGAGTGAATTTGGGAAAATATCCTTTGTGCACGTCCTCATCTCATGACTCTCAGAGCAAACGTGAAGTGAACAAAAATTGGTCACCGAAATGTGGAACTAAATGTATTCTTTGCTCACTGATGACTCTATGGATTCAACGGAGCATTACCTCATCTAACACTCTAACATCGGTAATTATGGAAAATACAAGAGGTGTACGTTCGAAGTAAAATAGACAAACCCATTAGA